CCATGCCAATTAGTATCCCCGCTAGAAGCACAGGAGGCTCACTCCCCGCTGGCTTCGGCGAAACTTTCAATAGCTCAGCCGCAACAGGAAGTATCGCCGATGCTGTTGATAGTGAACTCGATGCGTGATTGCAAAATCCTCCGTTTCGTTATGTGGTGCCGCGATGCACGCGGGGGCAATCGTTTGAATAGAGATAGCTCCCGACTTGTTTGATATCTCCGTGATGCCGTCAGGAGCGTCCGTCACCGTTATGAGTGTCACTGAACTCAATGCTTGATTGTTGAGCACCCCGGTACCATCAGATGTCATCGTGTTGCGCGACAAAGCAACCGTTTGAATAGAGAAAGTTCCCAGTTCGTTTGATATCTCCGTACTGCACATAGTTGAAAATGATGTAGCCCTCGAATTACAATGTGGCACCGTGATACACGCAGGAGCAGTCGATATATTTTTGGGTTGTTGAATTTGATTTAGTTGCCAGTTCCGATTATGTGCTGATGTTGATGAAATAGTCCCTGTTGTTGATGATTTTGATGATGTTAATAGCGTCGTTACCTGCAATGGATTTACCGATATTGAGCTGATTGATGACACTGTCTTTATCGATGTTGTTTGTTGTTGATGAAGCAGTCGGTGATGGCAGCTCCGCTGTTGTCCCCAACACTGGCAAAGATTGCTCTGCTGATGGCAGTCAGATCGTTGTCACCCGCTCCTTCATCGCTTCGCCGTAATCCGTGCCTTCACTGAAGAGCAGATTGCAACTGGTTATTAAGGTTTTTGCCTGCCGTCAATCAACGAAACTCTCCAGCGCCGGGTCGTCAACAATTTGCCAAAGGAGATTTTTCAATTGCCGACAATTGTCCTCCACCCATACACCCGGTGCTACCCCCCTCATAGCAACCGCCTGCCAAGCCTGACCAACATGAGACAAAACAGCAACCAAAGTCTACATGCTATGTCGTGTCTCTTCTAATTCAATGATCCACGCATCCGCCTGGCGTTGAAGATCCTCCCCCATTGTTGACAAGCCACCACGTGCCGCTGTCGACTGCTGTTGCTATCTGTACACTCTCCGGGTTCCTTTGCGCAACGACGCCTTACACATATCGACCACGGGGTGAGCCCACCCCGCTCGTATCGCCATGTAACTTCTCCAGGTCAACCCTGAAGCAAAGGGGTTGACTCGCTGTGCTCTCGGCGATGGTGCCGATTCGCTTCGTCCTTCTCGATAACACCGAGGACTAAGTTCACACGACCGCCGGGCCCGCCGGCCGGTGTGTGTCCTACGCGCTTGCGCAGGTTGTTGTAGAGGCTGGATTACATACATATAAAAGTCACCTTCGACACTTGGCCATGGGCTCTGCTTGCTGAGTGAGGCGTAGACCTCCAAATAGCCGAGATTCTTAGCCGAGATTCTTAGATCTCAGGAGAAAAGAAAAACAAAGTGAAAAAACAAAAGCAAGCTACTTACTGAGGCCTTGTTCACTCCTGTACCACCCCACACACGGCCAGAAGTACAGTTCGCAGAGCTGCCCGGCCTCCTATAATAAGGGATGCTGGAACTTGCATGAGAGTGAATATTCTGCTAGAACTCCAGGAAAAAAAAAATAAAAAAAAATGCTAGAACGTGGAACGAAATACCACCATGTTTTTTGTCTTTTGTGCGTGTGGAGAGCAGTGGAGCCACACCCAGAATGCGTCTGACAAAGCAGCAAATTGCTCCCCGCCTGTCATGAGGTGGAGTCACATTAAAACTTTTTTTTTTTTTTTTTTTTTTTTGATGTGCTTTATTTTGCAGTCGGAACGATACTCGGATGGCGGCGCAGCGCTTCCGGGGGCGCTGCGCCGCCGGTGCGTTTCTCCGACATCCTGCTGGCGCGGTGGCTGTTTTTCCCGCACTTATGATTTGAGTGGCGATGGTGGGTGGGCTTCTGCGACATCCTGTTGGCGTGGTGGCCGTTTTCCCGCACTTATGATTCGAGTGGCGATGGCAGGTGGGCGTCTGCGGGATCACTGCTTCGAGGTGATGGCGGGCGACTTGGCAGGGGACTGGTGCATGGCCAGCGTGCGAGCTTCTTTGTTATTCGGGGTGCTTGTCAGCTTTTCTTCTTGCGTCTTCTTTGCCCGCTTCGGGCGGCGATGACGAGTTTGGTAGGTGCGGACGTGGAGGAGTTGCTAATCCTTGTATGCTTTGAGGAGACTGTACTAGACGACGGGGGCGAAGCGGTCAGGCACATGGGAGCGTGCTGTCGAGTTTCGTTTTCCCATCACTAATGCATGTAAGTAGCTCGAAGTGCAAAGCTGGCGAGGAGGGACAATTTTTGCGAGGTGGGAGGTTGTACTTCAATGAATAAAGGGATTAAGGCGGCAGAACTATGATCCTAGTGTGGGCRTTCCTCTTCTCTCTGGACTGCYAGTGAGAGGCCGTCGACAAGTTTGACGGTTTTTTGTCTTGCTATGTGGCGAGACTGATGCGGAGCTTGACGCCACAGTCCGCTGATCTTCATTGTTCAACCTGAGTTTTTGATGGTCGATGTGGTTGGCCACAACATGGTTGAGTTGCCTTCAGGCCGATGAAGCAGGAGGTCGAAGTTTAGAGGGGGGACGAACGGGATATGGGAAGAGCGATTGATAGGGGTGTAGGGATGATTATCTGTTGAGAGGCTTGAATCGGTGTTGGCCCTCAATCCCGCTCATCTCTTTCTAAGCCTTTTCTCAAGCCTTTTCTCACGCTTAAATCCCTTTGTTTGTGATGCCTTCTGATCCTACCGAATGCAAGTTTGTATTTCCAAGAATGCACTCCTGATTGTAAATATCCTTTCCGGGGTTTTAATCCATTTCGAATTCGATTCATAGTAGGTTTCACGAAGGGTTAAAAAAATGGTTTCTAAAAGTTTTCCCGAATGATTTTCAGGATCGGTTCGGCTAAGTTGATGTTCGTGAATCAAATTTTTTGCCGCTGATCTTAAACAAGTGATTCCCATCTGTCTAGCGTTTCAGAGTACTTGTGAGTAAATTGAGAGCAATAACTCAGGTCGACTTTCGTAGAATTTCCAAT